GCTGCTGGTGCTGCTGGTGCTGCTGGGCGGCCTCTGCCTGGGCAGGTAAGTCCTGCCCCCCCCCCCTCTCCCCCTCCCTTCTTTTGCCTCCAAGGGACCCCCTGCCCCCCTTCCACGGGTCTTCCTCCCCCTCCCCCCCGCCCTTCCTGCTACCTGTCTCCACCTGTGGGTCCATTTCCCCCACCTGTTTCTGTCTCCCCCCCCCCACTGCCCCTATTGCATGAGCTGGGCGGGGAGGGCGCCTCTGAGGACGTGCAGAGAGCCTCCTTGCAGCCTGGGTTTGGGGAGGGTGGGGGCAGGGCGGGGCAGGCGGCAGGTGGTGTGCACCTGAGGCTTGGCTGGCTCCATCCCTGCCTGGAAGGAGGAGGAGGGGGGGGCTCACCTGGGAGCAGAAGGGGCTGCGTGGGAAGCGGGGAGATGTAGGTTGGCCCACTGCTGTGCTTAGCCAGGGGGTCTCTCCACCCTTGGCCATTTTTTTAAGGCTCGTGGACTCCAACTCCCAGAATTCTCCAGCCAGCAGAGCTAAGACCAGGAAGCATAGCTGGCTGGGGGATTCTGGGAGTTGGAGTCCACGAGCCTTTCAAGGCTCCAAGGGTTCTGCTTTGGGTTCTGCTGTGGGACTGGTCTTCAGCTGCCCCTGCAGTGTCCGGGCTACTCTTGTTTACAGTTAGTCCTCCAGTTATGGCCACAATTGAGCCCACCATCTCCGTTGCCAAATGAGGCATCTGTTAAGTGAGTTTGCCCCATTGGACGACCTTTCTGGCCATAGTGGTTAAGCAAATCACTGCCGTTGTTAGAAACTTCGCAATTGTTAAGTGAATCCGGCTTCCCCATTGGCCTGGCTTGTTGGGAGGTCCCAAAAGGGATAACATCACACCCCCCTCAGGGACATTGCAATGGTCAGTTGCTGAGTGTCTGAATTTTGATCACATGACCCTGGGGATGCCACAACAGTCGTAAGTGTGGAACGTGGCCCAAAGTCGCATCTTTCAGTGCCGTTGCAACTTCAAACCATCACTAAATGAACTTTTGTAAATTGAGGATAATCTATACTGAATTAAGAAAATAAAGGGCCCACAGATGGGGAAAAAAATTCAACAGTTCACCTGCTGTCCCGAGTTTTTAATCGTCACCTTTTTACGAGGGGAAATTGGTTATTTCTTACCCAGGTTAAAAAATGCCCACTTTCGTCTGATAAAAAGATCGCAGTAGCGCTTAGACATATATACCGCTTCGCAGTGCCCTCGCTAAGCGGTTTACAGTGAATTGCCCCCAAACAATCCGGGTCCTCAGTTTACTGACCTCCGAAGGACGGAAGGCCGAGTCAAACCTTGAGGCCGTCAGGACTGGAACTGCCAAAGGGCTGGCGGAGAGACGCAGCTGCCGTCCTGCAGACTAACTCCTGCGCCTGTTCAGATGAAGTGACTGTGGGCCTTGGGGTACCCGCCCCGGGCCCCTTTGCGTGGGGGCTTCCCCCCAGGGGAGAATGCAGGCCGGAGCCCTTTCAGGACGCTTGAGGGAGCCCGTGGGGGGGGGTCGTGCAGGTGTAGCCCCACGGGGGAAGTCCCGGACTTTATCGCTGGGCTTTGAGGACTAACACCCTCGCCAGCCCCGATTGGCAGCTTTAATGCAAGCAGTTTCAGTTCAGTTCAGTTTCAGTTTATTTCATTTATATGCTGCCCTTTTCCCCCAAAGGGGACTCAGGGCGGCTCACAATTGAACCAGGGAAGGGGAATACAGACAAAAAGAAATAAAAAAAAAACAAAGCATAACAATACATAATTTGAAAACACACAACAGCCATACCATTAGAGCCGAGGTGGCACAGTGGTTAAATGCAGCACTGCAGTTCAGCAGTTTGGCTGTTCAAATCCCACCA